TTCAATAAAATAATATTTTCCATCACATCAATAATTCTTTCTTCTTTTTCAACCACACATTTCCCATCATATCACTATTCAAAATCAATTCTTCCCCCAAAAATCTCTCCCAAACAAGCTCTATATTACTTCTATCAACAGAACTGGAACATAACTTCATTTTTGGAAAACATTGCGCTATAAATTGAAAGTGATAAAAAAAAAAAATTAAAAAGTGACAAACGTCAATAAAAATCTTATATTAGATCTAGGGGATGGTTGCTTTCATTTACGAGTTTTGTTTTTTTTGTAATTATACTTCACTTCTATTGACTAAACATGGAACATAACTTCATTATTGGGGAATTGAATAGACTTGCAAAGAAATTAAAGTACTTGAAAAAATTTACTCCATTGTCACCCTTGTTTTCAAAGAGTTGGATTCAGAAACTAATGCAATAGTACTTCATAAGATGAAAACCAATTCAATACAATTCATATTCAACCAAAACTGAAAATTAAAACTAGATTAATTCCTTCCGTCCCAATTATATAGGTTGAGTTTCCTTTTTCTTTTGTCCCAAATATATAGGCCGGTTTCCTAATATAGAATATTTTGTTGTGCTCCTTTACCAATATACACTTATTAAATTTTCCTCACTTAATATATAAACTTTTTAAAATCATCCAAATATGCACATTTCCCGCTTCTTGGAAATATGGAACAACTATCATCAAATTACATCATTCAAATTTTTTTATTAATTCCAATGATAATATAGTTTTACATACTGAAAATTAAATATGGGTAAATTAGGAAATATTTTGGCAAAAAATTTTCTAATGACATTAAAGAAGCTTTCTTAATCTTGAAAAACAAAACAAGCCTATATAATTGGAACGGAAGGAGTAAGAAAAATCCTCTTCATAAAAAAATGAAAAAAAAAATTGACAATAACCCATTTATCAAAATTATTTCAAATTCCCTTCAAAACTATATCACTTAAAGTTGATCCTCTATTCTCAAGTACTCTCCAATATTCCATTTGAATCCCTTGACACCAATTTATCCAGCTTGAAGTTTGTGGCTCGTTCGACTAATGACTTCGACTCATAGTAGACCCAATTCTTCTCGAGGAGCAAGCAATAATGTTTCGAGTTCAAATCATCTCCTTAATACAAAATTGTATAGCTTGTCGAAAACTAAAGTTTCCTCCTTCTCATCCGCGACCTTGTGGCCGAAATGTGGTTGCTCATATACTTCGAATCCCCTCTCGCTCTCTCTAAAACTACCTTATATTCTCTCACAATGGTGAACTTTTTGCCTTTTGATGGGTTTTGCAAGACCATGGACAGAAAAATAAGAATTTAGGATTAAAAAAAATGGACTTAGGAGGTTTTGTGCGCAATTAATACTTTGATTATATTTTTTATTAACTTTGATGGTATTAATCTAATATCTTATTTTGAAGGGTATTGGACCTAATTTCCTCGTTTTTTAAAGTACCGATTTTGAGCATTTATGAGAAGGCCAATTATTAGTGATTTTAGTAATGATTTTTAAAACGGTCAAACCCATATTTGAAAGTTTATTATTCATCGATTCTAATTTTTTTTTTTTTGAAAAATAAAGTTGCATATATATCTCTTAGTGAAATTTTGAGTTTATGATTTATTGTAGGGTTGGGCAAAATATTCGAATTGAACCGGAATCAAACTGAACCAAACAGGTTTTCCTAAATTAAAAACCCGAACGAGTATCTGAATCAAGAACTGATGGGTTTGGTTCAGTTCTAGGTTCTAGACCAAGAACCGAATAAGAACCGAATTTTTTTTGGATAAATCAATTTATTTTATTTTTTAAAACAAATTAACAATTTTTT